ACCCTGACCGATGTAACATCGCAACCAAAAAACTTGTCAAATTAACCAAATCATTACCGTTCCATGAATGCTCCTATTTCCGACACTTCACACAAAAAAATAACTCTTGTACGCCTTGCGTGCCTATGTTTCTTATACGCTTTAACGGTTTTGCCAGGTTAAAACTGAACAATTTAAAATTATCTTTCTATATCAGAGCTGGCGTTATTAAACCAAAAATAATTCAGGAATGACTCCATCAGCAAGACAAAGTTCATACATGTAATGGTCTCAAGTGTCAAACCATACCATAACTCTTTCTGCCTATAACAGTTTATTCTTCTCTTTGGCTTTTCAATACACCAAAAGGAGCATTAATCTGACAAATATTTTCACGCAAGCCATTAAAACAACGAAATTATCGTGCTGAAATGATGGAATTTTGTTTACGGATATTCGACTTTCGATTTTCGACTTTCAATTTTCTGGAAGACCTACTTGCAGGCGCCTGCTGCGTCAACCATCGTTGAACATTGCCGGACTTATGCGTCATACACCTTCAGTGAGTTTCAGCGTGAGATCTAATGAGAATCTTGTGAAGAATCAAAATATGGATTTCAGATAATGAAAAATTTGAAAAAACTCATTATAATCTTTTCTCAAACTCATTAATAATTCATGAGGTCAACCACCAACCACAAGATGTATACCACATCACGTGCATGTGTTTGGATACCCAATGAAACACAGTATACCACTCTCCAGTGAGAGTGGTATATACCACTAAAATATGCACAATGACAACTTGCACAAAATCAATGAATATTTATTATTCAGAAGTAACCTTTTGTTTTCAAAGTCACATCCATTCGCGTTAATTCCTTCATTTCTGCATTCAAAACACGCCGAAATGTCACAAACCTAACAAAGCGAAAGGAAAAAAAAAGTAGTATTAAAAACAGCAATAACACAAGTAGGTTACGCGAACCAAATTTTGTCCCCAAAAAATGTAACTTACCTTCGGTCGGACATGTCCAAAGGATTCAATGCAGCATTCCATTTACATAAGAAAGGTGGCGCTTCAGTCCGCAAAGTGAATTGAGTACAACGAACGGGAAGGATATCGTTCCCCGGAAGAATTGCTTACCTCTTGATCGAACTTCGACAGCCAGTTGAGACTGCAGATAGTTGAGACTGCATGCAGACATATCTGTAATGGCCGTGTCTAAAGTTTGTACTCCTTCAAACTCTTTCGTGGTAAAAGGGCCGCCGCACAAAGTACAGGACTTCACTAATCGATTCTGTTTCCATTCCTCGGAAACCTTAACACGACCATTTAGTTTTATAAGCTGTTGATTTCGGTACTGCATTATCAACACTTTTCTTCTCATCCTCCAAACCTTTCGGCTGCCGAAATCTCTCGAACGACTTTGTTGCGGTATACATCCTGACTGAATGACAACTTGTAAATGCTGGCAACTCCAACAAACTTTCACATCTAAGAATAAATTAAATCGCAATATAAATACAAATTAATTACGCCGGTAAAAAACATCGTCGATATTGAAATTATCGAGGAAGGAATTTTAGACAGCAAGCAATTCTAATTGGAAGTCTTTGTTTATTATTTCTTTAAGAGTGATCATGAGAAGTTATTTCCAAAACTCGCGCTTCGTGTTTCATCGGGATATCCAAACACCCCGAAACAATAAAAGCACTCGGCCTACGGCCTCGTGCTTTCATTTGTTTCTCGGTGTTTGGATACTCCGATGAAACATACGCTCTCGTTTTGAAACTAGTACGTGAAGAATCAATAAAAATCTCTTAGTGGATTTTGGGCCGATTTTAAAGCAGCTCAAACACTGAAAAACTGATGGTTTGAGGTTAAAAATGAATTAGAGCCTTATTTAACTCCCGCGCTTTCTATTTCATTTTAAGCCCAAAAATCAACAACCCAAAATAGCTTAATTTCCTCGTCATCACTTGATAGATTTTGCTAATGAATTTATTAATGAGCAAGGGGCTCGCAAGACCTTTAAAAATTTGCTTCGTTTTCATAATTCATGTAAATCTTGTGAATTTTTCTAGGGACTGAACCTACCGCCTATAGCATCAGGCCTTTTTGTACTCGTGGAGTATGCCTCGTAATAAATAACGTACGAGAATTAGGGTCTGGGGTAGAAGAAGAAGTAGAGAACAAGCTTATTGGCACGTTCAAGTGCTTCTCCTTTGAAATACGAGTCCGACGCAATCTTAAGACGTTACAAATGTACCAAGTCGCCAAAGAATTTGCAGACAAAGATCACAGCGAATTCGACTTATTTGTTGTCATTATCATATCACATGGTCAAGGTAATGACATTTGGGACGTTGATGGAGGGAAGGTAAGCCTTGAACAAGTGATGACCGAGTACACAGCAACAAAATGCCCCTCTCTGCGGGGCAAACCCAAGATGTTTTTTGTTGAGCGAGTTACATTCGTGCAGCCCCCTAGCGTCGAGGATGGTTCAATCCAAGCGCAATGTTCCACAGATAGAGGGACAGAGCCGCGTCCAGCTTTTCCCTTGAACGTCGGGAATAATTGTCCTGAAGGGGCTGACTTCCTGTTAACTTGGATGACCTCTGCAGTTGACAAAGCCAAGCCAGTGCCGGAGGATTTGTCTATTCAGGTCAGAATTTTAGTGAAAGAAGTTAATAAGCCCTCTGCAGCTAACGACCTCGTGGTAACAAAATTTGTCATATCTAAGCTTGACTGGCAGAAGCTGTTTGGTTTGGAGGCTATAGTATATTCTTTAATCATTCAGAACGACAGCTCTTGTACCATGTGAACTTTTATTGCCCTTGACTGAACCCGCGATTTTCAGTAGTGATGTTGCTAAGCTACAGTACTTGTCAAAATAGTGTCAAAATAGCGTTAGAGCTTTTGGGGTGTGCGTGGAACATTACTCACTTCCTAGTACTATAGGCTGACGTTATGTGTACCACTGACTGGGATCGCAGTTTCTCGACTGGATCGACACATTTTCAACAGAGTAATTTTCTAGTTCCAATGATTATAGGAAGTTAAATATTCATGGAACACGCTCGTAATTTTTTTGGGTAGTAAATTGTTTAGTGTTTTTGAATCAATCAACAAATGTGTAACTTCATTCTTGAATGATTTGATTAGAAGATTAAATAAAATGACTGACTAGGTTAGGATCGGGTAATTTTGTATCTTAGCCGTTTTGGTTTGAAACAGTTAAACACAGTAGTGACCCAATAATACTCCACAACGAAATCAAACCATGAGATAAGATACACGAAACAAACAAACAAGAAAATTCATAAACTTCATCATCCAAAACCGGCCACGGTTGAAACGTTTGGTAACAACAAATAACAGTCATTAATTTGCTTATATTGTTTTTTTTTTATTTAACAGGTGTTGATCGAGGCCATTAAAAAGGATGGCAGGCACCTCCATATGCTTGATATTTTGACTAAAGTGAACGAGTGTATGGCAGACAAACATCGTTCAAACGGAGTCATGGCCGCTCAAGTGTCATATCAGAATCATACACTGAGATCTGAAGTGTACCTAAGTATGAAACAAGGGCGGGGGAGAACACTCTGCGACGCCTGGCACTTTTTGTGTATCTGAATCATCCAACAAAAAATGACGT